CAGCTAGAGCAAAGCATGCACTGCAGGGCACCGAACACAGGCACGCATCAGTGCCTTAAAGAATAAAAAGAAAGGGGGAACTGTGGGGAGCAACTGAGACTAGACTAAGTTACTGGAATTAAGACTTATTCTATGCATCTGCTCTGCCACAATATGGCGCTGAGAGAGAGACCAAACAACTTCTACTCAGCTGCCTCCAGTTTGACCAATAAATTGCAGAAGCTGATCCTGCTCCTGATTGGAGGAGAGCAGTGTGCTCGGCGTGTGGGCAGCAGAGTTGGGATTGGTGGAAGAGGACTATAAAGGAGGAAAGAGACAACATGCACCGGGAACATCTAAGGAACACCTGAGGAACATCTAAGCAGCCCCTGAGAGAGCCGGCCAGCGGTGTGCTGCTCCTCCGTGGAAGCGGGGAAAGTGGTGGGGGGTGCCACCCCTCCACGGAGGTGGAGGGGCCGGCAGCTAACCCGGGACGGTGTCGTTCCTCCATGAGTGAGGGACCGGCAGCTAACCCGGGAAAGAGCAGAGCAGACAAAAGAACAGCGCAGGGTTTAGTGTCGTTCCTCCGCGAATGGGGGAGCGACAGTTCTCACCTCCTCTGGAGCAGGCTTCTCAGTCTGCGTGCCTTCCTCCCAGCCCCTGTCCGTGCATTCCACCTTCTTCCGCCCCCCTTACGCAGTGGCAGAGTCTGGTGCCAGTCTGGCTCTTCTCTTTTGTCTGGAAACGGTACCGTCTTTCTTTGCGGCTCAGAAAACTCACCTGGACAGATGTAGCGTAAATGTGCCATCATCTCTCTGGTCCTGCCTGAAACGCAGTGAAGTTTTCCAAGGGGGTGACTTCAGTCCTTCCCAAGGGCTTTTGTTCTTTTTAAAAGTCTGTCCTTGATCAGCACACCATTAATTTCATTCTCAACGGCTGCTTCCTCTCTTTCCATTTTTTCTGCTGAATGATTTCACTTAAAAGTCATCCTTCTTGGTCACAGAAAGTCCTTCTTACGCTATAACAGAGTCTCATTATTTGTTCGCTTATTTTTAAAGGGGCTTTAAGAAATTTTCACAGGTCTCTTAGCCAACATCGAATATAATACCACTGACAATACTTGTGAGTGTGTTTTCTTGTATGCTAAGTTTTCTAGGATAATTTATTATAAGTAGCCATGAACCTGGAAACTACTGTGAAACCTGTAGTTTCTGCTGTGTAAGATGACTGTGATTCTGGAGCCTATAATCCCCCTGAACAGATGCTAGCTGCGGAGTCCTGCGCCGGGCAGCAGAGCAGGGCAGCCTCTCCCCACGTTCTTGCTCACCCAGAGTGGTGAGCACCGGCTCTGGTGACGCCCCAGGTGCACACTGAGGGCCGCGGGCAGAGCAGTGCTCCACACAGCTGCTGGCCTGCAGGGGGACAAGGGATACCTGTCTCACAGACAGCTACTGGATGCCCACGTGATGGGTCTGACAGGCAGTCAGGAGAAATCGATGCACTTATTTTTTTGTCTATATCTTTGATCACAGAAATTTTAAAAACTCAGTAAACAAGCATGCTGCAAAAAATAGACAAATTTGAGTATTAAACGTTAAGTGTAACATCTAAATGGAGAATTTTCCCATAATCCAGCATGATCGATCTGGGAGTTCTGCTGTCTACCTCAGAGGAAGGGAGGAGGGGGAGAGAGGTCAAAGACACTGGGAGAGAAGTAAGAGGAGAAAGAAGGGGTGGGGAGCAGCAGATTCGGGGAAGGAAGACAGATTTCCCATCCCTGCAGCAAGGCAGGGGCTCCCATCAGAGGATGCTGGGAAGATGTTTGGAAAGCGTACATCCCACACATCCAGCTGGTCTCAGTGTCCCGAGGATAAACAGAATCTTCAAGGCATCAGCAAGAAAAAATCATGGCACCTACAAAGAAACAGGTCAGAGCCTCTTCAGATATCTCCTCATAGCTCAGAATGGGAGATGACCGGGGGGATAATAGCTTTGACATTCTGCAGGGGCGCCATTTTTGGGTCTGACATTTTGTGCAAATGAGATCTGTATTTTGAATATGTGAGTAAAATTGAGACTTTTTTTTGGAAAGAATTCAAAAGTTCACAGATTTAAAATCTCTCAAAAGCATATCTAGTAAAACAGAAAATGAACCTAAAGAGGGAAAGTATTTAAAGAGTTAGCAGTGAGCCAAGAAATAGTTACAGCATGAAGTTATGTCTAAATATTAACTCTTATGTAACGTACGGAAACTTGTAAGGAACTGCAATTACAGAAAAAGATACCTCTGAGGGATTCGGAAGAAACTGGAAAACATGCTAAGTTTTTGCTTTGTTTGGGAAATAGACAAAAATCCAGATTGTGTCTACACACAGAGGTAAGCAGAATTTTAAAAGTGTATTACGAATTTCAGGGTAGCCAAGAAAAACCAGAGACATCAGATTGGTAACTTCCAAGTGACCGCTAGAAAAGAATGGAGCAAGAAAATTTAATCAATGCAACAAACCAAAGAGGACAAAAACAAGAAGATGTGATAAAGGAAAACCTAAGAGATGAGAAGAGCCATTCAAAACTGACCATTCAGTGCACTGGTTACATTTCCCCAGTAAAAGAGACGCTGGGTGGGAGAAATCCTAGCTACTGGCCATTTTGTAAGAGTGGTTGAAGAGAGAAAGGAAAAGACTCATGAGGAAATACTAATCAGATAAGCGAGCTATTTAATATGAGTTATCCAGAGCCAAACTCTCAGTAAGACAAAGAGCTATTTTATATTGATGAATGATAAAGTACACCAAAATAACAAAACAACGTAGCTTCAAAATAAAGGAAAATTTGGTAGCAAATGGAAAATTTGAAAAGTCCTAAGTGTCAATAGGAAATTTTAATGTTCTTCTCTTAGACAAAAAAAATTAGTGAAGGTATTAAATATTAAATAAGCCAGTTATAATTGAGTATAGGGAATATGCATTTTTAAATTTTTATTTAAAGATTTATATTTATTTGAAAGGTAGAGTTACAGAGAGAAAGAGAGGGAGAGATGCAGAGAGAAAGTTATTCCATCCTCTGGCTCACTCCCCAAGTGGCCCTAATGGTAGGGGCTGGGCCAGGCCAGAGCCAGGACCCAGGAGCTGCATCAGCGTCCCCAACATGGGTGCAGGGGCCCAAGGACTTTCCCAGGTACACTAGCAGGGATCTGGATCAAAAGTGAAGGATCCAGGACTCCAACCACTGTCCATATGGGATGCTGGCATTGCAGGCCCTTGCATTCTTTTTAAATATGTGTGGGCCACTGATAAAAACTGACTCTGTAGTAAGACTGAAGAGAAGAATCTCAAATTCTCTGACCATAGTAAGATAGAAGTTGGTAAACAAAGCAATAGTCGACTTGAATGTCAAAACACAAAAATTCTTTGAAGCAATCTTGGGTTCAAGTGGTAATAAAAATATTTGGAACTATCTAAAAATTAACATAATGTAGGCACAGGATATCAAGGTTGCGAGATGAGGCCATAGACAAAACCTGATGCACAGGACGTCAGAAGTCACTGAGTCGTCCCTTGTTGCCTTCTGCGCCCCTCCCCCTCAGCCTGGGAGAGCCCGCTCTACTCTGAGGAACGTGTGCCCAGGTAAAGGGCTTTTCCCACTGCAGGGGCCAGGGGCCCACAGGCGTTGCTGAGCCAACGGGTCTCCTGGGCTTGGCTTCCCCGCAGGGTATCCCAGAGCCTCTTGGGAAGTGAGAGGCTCAGAGGCATTAAGACTGAGATTGGTGCAGAAAAGAGGGTATTCCTGGTACCCCATCTGAGGACTTCCAGACAAAGAGTGGCTGGGGTGGGAGTCTGCAGCCCACTGCGCCCTGCACTCCAAGCTGTTGGCAACAGCTCAGAGTGAACTTGAGTTTTATTACTGTGCCTGGGGCCTGCAAACCCTTCCAGGTCCTAAAGAGCTTGTGGGCAAAGCTGCGGAACCAAGATGGAAAGCAACCATGTGCATCACCGAGATGGAACTGAAAACAAAAGAAACCAAGGAAAATTTCAGGATGGAACTGGTAAAAATAAAAAAAAGGACCTGCAGTTCATATTAGTATATTTTATAGAAATTGTTCATAGACTTCATTATAACACAGCATGGTTTCCCTAGCTAAATTATCAGGCCAGTCAAGTGGCCAGATTCATGAAGCAGTAACACAAATGACCTATAAAGAACGCATTTTAGATAAGTATGAGCGTCTTCAGTCAAGCCGAGCCCCTAATCCTGGTGGCCAGACACTGAGCTCTGAATATTCACAGGAAAGCTTCAGCAGGATGGGGAGCTCGACCACGTGGGCTGTGGTTCGGAACGAGAGGCGTGTTAGTGAGAACTGCCTGCCGGTCTTCAGTGCTCACAGATGAGCCTGCTGTCTGTGCGTTGCACGTGTGGTGTCCGAGGCTGGTCCCGGTGCTGGGTGAGTTCCAGCACATCCTTTCTGCTGGTTTCTCTGGCTTCAGGAAAGCCCCTGTTCAGCTTCTTCAAGGAGTGTTCTGTTTCAGTCTTATGATCTACTGGACTTTTTTTCTAACAGTTCATCCTCATCTCCTCCGCATTTACTCACTGCTCTTGCCAGTCGCTCAACTGTTCTGATGTATTGAAACTTAAATCCCCGATGAAGTAAAGCATCAAATAGATAGCTTTCACACTACATTTTAATGCACAGTTCAATATAGGTGACAAGAGTTTAACACTGTGTGCTTTAGTTTAATGCATAAATATTAAGAAAATATGTGTTCAGAAATTATGTAATCCTTACACATACAAGTGTTCTCTTTTTTTAAAAAAAGATCTATTTATTTGAGAGTCAGAGTTACACACACACAGAGAAGGAGAGGCGGGGGGTTTGGTGGTGAGAAAATCTTCCATCCCCAATTGGCCACAATGGTCAGAGCTGCGCCGATCCAAAGCCAGGAGCCAGGAGCTTCTTCTGGGTCTCCCACGTGGGTGCAGGGACCGAGCACTTGGGCCATCTTCCACTGCTTTCCCAGGCCATACCAGAGAGCCGGATCGGGAGTGGAGCAGCCAGGACTTGGATTGGTGCCCATATGGGATGCCGGCACTGCAGATGGTGGCTTTACCCACTACGCCACAGCACTGGCCCCAGCAAGAGGTCTTACAGAAGAAAAGCTGTGGTTCTGAGGTGACAGAGATGTCACTTAAGCTGGACTCAAAGTTTATATACCAGGAAGTTTAAAAAGCAATGAAATTTAAATTGTAAACATTTTAAACCATTATAGGGCAAAAGTACCTCTCTGACGTTTTCAATCCCACTCACAGGACTCTCTCCTGGGCTTTTCTAATCGCCCCACAGTGCTGGGTGAGGACCTGGTCTGACACCCAGGCCAGCCGGGCTGCTGGACCAGGCGGAGCCGTCAGAAAGGCGCCTCCGATGGCGGGCGTGTGTCTAGGGGACAGGGCAGCCCCGTGGCCAATGATTGGCCTGGCAATGTGCACGTGACCCCATCTTAGCCAATGAGGTGCGAGGACTCTTTACCAAGGGATTCTGGGAAAGTCCTGCTCCTCCGCCTCACTCTCAGGGAGGACTGTGGGAGGCGACGTTTTCTGGGCGGGCTGTGGCCGCTCTGGTGGCTGCTGCCCGTCATGGAGGGACCAGAGGTGAGTGGCCTGGAGAGGGGTGGAAGGGCCTCGGGTGGGTGGCGCGGGGGAGTCAGGCAGCTCCCACGTGGTGTTGTCTCTGGAATTCCCGTCAGCGAGCGGCGTGGCTTTATGGTCCCAGCGCGGCTGTGGAGGCCGGGTTCCCGGGACTTCCAGCCCGGATGCACCGAGCGGACCGGCGACGTCCCCGGAGCGAGCACCAGGCCGCGGCCGACACGAGGGAGCCGCCGTGCGGACGCGGGCTTGGAAGCCCCCAGGAGCCCGGGTACGGTCTCTACCCGCCCGTGTGTAGAAGCCGCGCGTCCACACCCTCCTGTGAAAACGCCGCAGATACAGCCGGGGCGAACACGCGAGGGGAGGTGGGAGGGAGAGACTCCATACCGTTATTTTGTTTTTCATTGCCTGTTACACAGCGTGGATGGAGCGCGTATTGCTGTCGTCTTTAAGGGAGCTTGGCACAGTTAACCATACCGCGCAGGGCTGCCTGATCGAGCCTGCAGTTGTATTCCTTCGTGGCTTTTACGTGGGACCCGACGGGTCTTGAGAAGGAGCTCGCCCTTGTTTTCATGTGGTGACAGTACCGCCAAGGTGGGGGCGTGGTGCCCTCACCGGTGCTTGTCTGCAGGAAGGGGCCGACCGCGGCCGACCCTCAGTGGACCTGACTCCAGGATCTGTCTTTGGCTTGGCTCCGATTTTGGTGTTGAAAGCCACAGGCTGAGCCGGCGCCGTGGCTCAATAGGCTAATCCTCCACCTTGCGGCGCCGGCACACCGGGTTCTAGTCCCGGTTGGGGCGCCGGATTCTGTCCCGGTTGCCCCTCTTCCAGGCCAGCTCTCTGCTATGGCCAGGGAGTGCAGTGGAGGATGGCCCAGGTGCTTGGGCCCTGCACCCCATGGGAGACCAGGAAAAGCACCTGGCTCCTGGCTCCTGCCAGGATCAGCGCGGTGCGCCGGCTGCAGCGGCGGCCATTGGAGGGTGAACCAACGGCAAAGGAAGACCTTTCTCTCTGTCTCTCTCTCTCACTGTCCACTCTGCCTGTCAAAAAAAAAAAAAAAAAAAAAAAAAAAAAGAAAGCCACAGGCTAAGGAAGAAGTGCCTTGCACACTGGTCGGTCGTGCGGACCAAACCAGGAAGCACTGTCAACCCAAGACGTCCTGGGACGTGTTTTCCGAGCAAGTTGGAAGTCTGTAGGTGATTCCAGCGATAAATGAAGCCCAGGTTCCAATGATGGGGGGGTGGGGGGATCTTTGCGAATTTCGTGGGTAACTAAATAAGAACTAGCATTGCATTGCAGCTTGAATATATGTGACTTTTCTTTGTCCCTGTTCAGGGTATCGAAGACATTGAATACATCCCTGAAGGTATCATAGTTGTCTCGCTCGTTGGTAATAGACTGTTTGTATGGTCGTTGATCTGCTGGGCCGTCTTCTCCCTGAAAGCAAGGACACTTCATTCATTCATTCATTCATTCATGCATTCATCCAACAAATCTTCACTGCATGTTCTTATGTTTTGTTTCATGGATCAACTTGGCCGGGCTGTAGTACCCAGCTACTCCATATCTACAAATCTACTTGTTTGTGTGTGTGTGTGTGTGTGTGTGTGTGTGTTAAGATTTATTTACTTATTTGAAAGGCAGAGATACAGAGAGGCAGAAGCAGAGAGAGAGATGTCTTCCACCGCTGGTTCACTCCCCAGATGGCCACAACAGACAGAGCTGTACCAATCCAAAGCCAGCACCTGGAGCTTCCTCCAGGTCTCCCACATGGATGCAGGGGCCCAAAGACTTGGACCAGCTTTTACTGCTTTCCCAGGCCATAACAGAGAGTTTGACTGGAAGTGGAGCAGCCTGGACTCAAACTGGTGCCCATATGGGATGCTGGCACTGCAGGCGGTGGCAAACCCAACTGTGCCACAGTGTGGCCTGTGCATGTGTTTTGTAGATGTATTTAACATCTATAAGCACTTGACCTTAAATCAAGGGAATTGTCCTCTGTAATCCATGAGGCTCATCCAGCCAGTTGAAAGACCGTTAGAGTAAAAGCGAGAGTAACTTGAGGAAGATGAAATTCTGCCTGTGGACGTAAATCTCCCGTTTGACAGTTTCCAGTTTCCTGGTCTAGCTGATGTATTTCAGATTTATATATGCAGCCCACACAATCCTATAAGTCGACTTCTTGCCAAAATCCCCCACCACCGCTTTCATTCTCCGTAGATGCATAAAATGTCTTTCTTACATCCGTAGAACCTCCTGCTGGTTGTGTTCTCTGGTAAAATCCTGACTGATACGTCCTCTGTGTGAAGGGACTGAATATTCAGTGCTCAACAAAACAACGATGGAGTTTACAGTTATTGGGAGAATAAAAAATGGATGAGTCCTTTGTAAGTTGTGGTATGTACAAAGAAGGGAAATGACAGCTGTTGCTGATAATCGGAATTTATAAGATTGGGTGATCGGCCACCACCGCGGCTCACTAGGCTAATCCTCCACCTTGCGGCGCCGGCACACTGGGTTCTAGTCCCGGTCGGGGCGCCGGATTCTGTCCCGGTTGCCCCTCTTCCAGGCCAGCTCTCTGCTGTGGCCAGGGAGTGCAGTGGAGGATGGCCCAAGTGCTTGGGCCCTGCACCCCATGGGAGACCAGGAGAACCACCTGGCTCCTGGCTTCAGATCAGCGCGGTGTGCCTGCCACAGCGGCCATTGCAGGGTGAACCAATGGCAAAAGGAAGACCTTTATCTCTGTCTCTCTCTCTCACTGTCCACTCTGTCAAAAAAAAAAAAAAAAAAAAAAAGATTGGGTGATCAGGGTGAAAGAAGGTGCCAGGTCTTTTAACAGAAAAGGAGAAGGTCTCAGGTAGAGGGCACAGCAAAGGTCCTGGGGCCAGCTGAGTGAGTGAGATGTTTCTGAGAGTTCCAGAAGACTGAAATAGGATGAGTGTCCTCACATCTCCCTTGAACCCCTGACTCATAGACCCACTCATCTGTTTGATATACCCACATGCATTTGTGTGATTGATTTTATGTCTGTCTCCTCCAGAGATGTAAAATCAAAGTTCCATAAAGGCAGGGAGTTTGTTTTGTTCCCTTGCTCTGTCGTCAGAGTGTTAAAGTTCCTGTCTTTAGCAGGTACTCCTAAGGAGAGGGTGAATGAAGGCAGACATGAATGAATGAAGTGTTAGAACGGTGAGGAACCACTGCAGGAGTGCAGGCAGGAGGATAGGATGATACCAGCCGGCTAAAAGTGCAGGTGAAAGAGAATGAAAGGGCTCAGCCAGCGTGGGGTGAATTTCGGAGTCTGGCCCTAGTTTAAGAGGAGCATAGAGCTATATAAAGAGAGAGAGGAAATCTAGAGTGTCTCATTCCAGCTTGAACAGGAAGTGGACGATGGTTTCAGTGGTAGAAATGGGAAAACCTCTAAAGGTCAACATACTGATGTTTCCAGGACTTAGCATACGACGTTAGGACTTGTTGATAAATGAACGAAACAGTGAATTTCATTGCCATCACTGTGCTTCGGCAAAAAGCAGCTACCCTAAAGTGTTTTATAAGTTTCAATGATATTTTTAGCTTCTTCCAGGGGAAAAAAAGCCGTATTTATTCCTTTAATTTCATGGCAAAAAGCAAATATCTTACTAGGTTTGAGGAACTGGACATGGATGAGTTTAGGGGACCTGTGGTTATGGTGACACTAGAGGACAGGAAAATTCCACCAGCTGCCATGAACACATGCTGTTGGTGCAGCAACCGTGGAGTGGGCGCGTGTCTATGATGGGTCTCTCTTTTTTTTTTTTTCCAGTGGTAACTTAGTATCTTTTTTTTATTTAATAAATATAAATTTATAAAGTATAACTTTTGGATTGTTGTGACTTTTTCCCCCATAACCTCCCTCCCACACACAACCATCCCATATCCCACTCCCTCTCCCATCCCACTCTTCATCAAGATTCATTTTCAGTTATCTTTATATGCAGGTGTTCAACTTAGTATAGTTTAGTAAGTATAGTGTAGTAAGTAAAGATTTCAACAGACTGCACCCACACAACCACACAAGATATAGAGTTCAACTAGTAGTTTTACTGTTAATTCTCATAGTACAACACATTAAGGACAGAGATCCTACGTGGGGAGCAGGTGCACAGTGACTCTTGTTGTTGATTTAACAATTGACACTCTTATTTATGACATCAGTAATCACCCGAGACTCTTGTCATGAGCTGTCAAGGCTATGGAAGCCTCCTGAATTCACCAACTCTGAACTTATTTAGTCAAGGCCGTATCACAGTGGAGCTTCCTTCTTCCCTTCAGAGAAAGGTGCTTCCTTCTTTGGTGGCCTGTTCTTTCTGCTGGGATCTCACTCACCGAGATCTTTCATTCAGGTCATTGATGGATCTCTTTCCTTGTTCTCTCCCTCTGATTTAAGGCACACATTTATTTTCACTTGAAGTTTTAAAAATTTTTTTCTCTTTTTTTAATAGGAACCATGCAGAATTTATTTTTTTTAAATTTTTTTTATTTGATAGGTAGAGATATATACAGTGAGAGAAAGAGAAAAAGGTCTTCCTTCCGTTGGTTCACCGCCCAAATGGCTGCTACGGCCGGTGCTGCACTGATCCAAAGCCAGGAGCCAGGTGCTTCCTCCCAGTCTCCCATTGGGTGCAGGGCCCAGGCACTTGGGCCATCCTCCACTGCCCTCCTGGGCCACCACAGAGAGCTGGACTGGAAGAGGAGCAACCGGGACTAGAACTGGCAGCCATATGGGATGCCGGTGCCACAGGCAGAGGATTAATTTAGTGTACCACTGCGCCCGCCCCCTATTTGACTTTTTAATTAGCCATTCTCTCATGAGGGCAGTGGAATTTTCCGGAGGCAAAGAGACCAGTGGTATTGTAACAAACCAAATGCAAAAGCAGACAGGAAGACCCAGCTCTCTCCCACTAAGTTGAAATTAAAGAAGTTCTTGGGGTGGCCATTTGGCCTGGCCATTAGGATACCATATCCAGGTGCTGTGGTTGACTTTCCTGTTCCAGCTTCCAACAGTGCAGACCCTGGGCAGCTGCATGTGGCGGCTCAAGTGGCCGGGTCCCTGCCTGACCTGGATTGAGTTCCTGGCTTCAGCTTGGCCCAGTCCTGGCTGCTAGGGGTGTTCATGGAGTGAACCAGAGGATGGGAACTCTTTGTCTTTCTCTACTTCTAGAATAAATTTGAAAACAGGAAGGAAATCCTCAAGAATGTAAAATAATGTCAGCTTTGATGGTATCTATTTTTTACTTTGGAAAATAGTTATTTTTCAGTAAAAGAGAACACATAATGAATTATTTAAAAATAAATTCATAAATTTTAGATACATGGTTTTAATATCTACTATAGGGAATATCAATGTATATAATCCACATTAACAAAAGCTCTTTGTGTAATTCAGTAGTTTTCAAAAGGGAAATGTTGCCTTCAGCCAAAAAATTGAGAACTGTTGTCCCACGGTTGTTTTTCCTCTAAAAGAACCCTAAGGGATATCCATGGGGACTCTTTGCTGGTCCTTGGTCAGCTGCAAATTGTGAGTCCCGTGAGTTGTGACCCAGCAGCTGCAGGTGAGCAGATGTACTGGGGCACTTGGATGAAGCCCCTTGTGTTCCAGAGTCAACAGTAATGGTTTCTGTGAAGATTAAGCAAAAACTAGAAAAACAGGCTCTCAGAATTCCATTCAAGTAGCCAAGTCCACACTGAAAGAGGAACAGATGGGTCATTCTTCAAACAAAGATGTTTTAGGCATGCATAATGTGACACAGTCAAAACAGCATTGTCCCACAGCAAGCAGTGTGGGAGTCAAGACAGCTTTCCTTGCGGTCCGTTTCATCTTGGGAAAAGCAAACCTCTCTGGGCCTCAGTTTTCTCAGCTGAGGTTTGTATTGGAATCTAATAGTCAGTCATTCGTTCATGCATTTGTTTGTTCTTTTAGTCAACAAATATTAACATCTCCTTAGCATCATACACATTGTTAAGCACTATGTAAAAGTAAATGACTTAATTATTTTTTTAAAAAGACAAAAGATTTATTTGCTTGAAAGGCAGAATGATACATATAGAGAGATCTTCTACCTGCTAGTTCACTCGGCAGATGGCCATAACAACCAGATATTGGCCAGACTGAAGCCATAAACCAGGAATTCCATCCAGGTCTCCAGCGTTAGTAGCAAGGGGTCCAAGAACATTAGCAAACCAGGAGCATTATCAGGAAGCCAGATCAAGGGCACAGTAGATGGAATTTGATCCAATATTCAAAATGGGATGCAGCTAGCGCAAACACTGGCTTAACCCACTGCGCCAAAATACCAGTCCCATAGTAACCTAATTTTGACCCTGAGATATTCAGTCTCTGGGGAGTTAAATCGATAAGTACTTAAAATTTGTTTAAAATTTTTAAGTAAAAATAGCAGTGTGCCTTCACAATATTTTCTTTCCCCAGCTAAACACTTCCCCAACCAATATTTATTTGCAGTCAGAGTGCTTATTATCTCCCTACATGATAGCATCCAGGAGGCCAGGGACTTTGGCTTTTCAACCTAAGTTTTCCTGGCATGTGGATGACACTCAGTGACTATTTGTTGAATGAGTGAAAGTAAAAAGGACAAAAAATAAATGAAGGATAAGTATATGTACAGTGGAAAGAAAGAAAAGGCAAAGAGAGGACAGTTCTCAGGAAAACAACCGGTATATTTATTAAGAGGCTGGGTTGAGGTCAGGTGCAGGGTCCCAGGCAGAAGGGAGCACAGACAAGAGCCTAACATGTGGAAGATGGGGTTGAAAGCTGTTCAGTGCACAGAGTTGATCTGTAGGCTGGGGAAGGGGCAGCGGTAACATTCTGTGAGTCTGTGAAGCAGCGGTTGTGAAGGAACAAGCAGCTTGAGCCTCTGCCGCTTTGCTTCCTGGGCAGTGTGGACTTCGGTGCGAGCTGGTCCGATGGAGAAGTGGTTTGAGTGCGGGCAGCCTGTTAATTATCATCTCACCATGTTGGTGCTAGATTTGGTATGATTATGGTTAATGGACACTGAGTCATTACTAAGTGGAAAGAAAGCACTCAACATGTATAATCTTCAAACACCCAACAAGACAAAAGTGAGGTGGACACTTTCATTGATTCCCCTTTTATAGACGAGGATACTCCTGCTCAGTGGGCTTCCAGGACTTTACCAAAGTAAGTGGCAGAACTGGACTGTCGCAGCCAGGATCATGGAGGCCCTCAAGGGCCTCTACCCCTGATCTCCCTGCCTGTGTAGAGATCTCCCAGGGTGAAATCAGCCTGGCACATGTGTCCTGTGAAATACAGTAGACATGATGGTATGTCCTCAGAGACATCGCAACTCCAACCTTACTTTTTTGATTGCTCGCTCTTGGTGAAGCCAGCAGGCAGGAGACTCGAGCAACCTGGTAGAAGGGCCTGTATGAAGAGGAACCAAGTTCTCCCTCAAAGAGCCAACACTGACCCAGTGAGCCACCTTAAAGTGGCTTCTCCACCCCAGTGAAGATTTTAGATGACATCAGCTCCAGGCGACATCTGACAACTCATGATGGACCCCAAAACCAGACTACCCTGTGAAGTTACATGGTTCCTGAGCTATTGAGACCATAAGAAATCATGAATAAAAATTGAGAGTTAAGCCACTGGATTTGAGAGTAATTTGTTATGCAGAAGAAGATAATAGAGTTGGAATTACAATTCAGATTTGTCTGACTTGAAAACCACATTTCTTATTCTCTTTTTTGCTACCTCTGATAAGTGACTTGTCCCATTGGGTGTGACCCAGACAGTGGCCCCCGGAGGCAGCCATAGCATCTAGGAGTAATTCTAGTGTTAGGACATAGGGCAGGATTCTGCAATTAGTCAATATGCCCAGAGAGAAAGCGACTTCAAATAAAGGGTTGTTCTAATTTTCTGTTGAGATTAATTTTAAAAAGGTTTAAGGGGACTTGAGAATATGATCTTTAACTGAAGTAGATGCAATCTTTAAATGTCTATTTAATACGATTTCACTATCCCTATTTAAAATTTAATGCTATATGAAATAGATGCTAATATAGGAGTGCTGTTTTCTCCCACTCCTGCATCAAGAACCACTTTATTCCTACTGTCCATCTGCATCCTCCTGATCCTTGCTATACAGATCCATGGACTGGCAGCATTAGCGTACCCTGGATTGTCAGAAATGCGGAATTTCTGAATCTCAAGCTTTACTCTAGGCCTACTAAAACAAAATATGCTGCTGGGTCTCCAGTGTTCGTGTATTGGAAGTGTAACCCCCAAATTTACATGTAGTGGTATTGCAAGTTCAGGCCTTCGGGAGGTCATTAAGATTACTTGAGGTCAAGGTGGGGTGGGGGTGGGGCTCGTGGTGGCCTTAGCGGCTTTGTAAGAAGAGGAAGAGAGACCTGAGCTAGCCACCTTCTCTGGCTCACCAGCTGATGCCCGTGCCGTGCGTTGATGCGCCAAGGAGGCCTTTAGCAGACGCAGGGCCCAAGCCCTTGGACTTGTGAGTCTCTGGAACTGTATGCTAAGAAAACCCTTATTTGTAGATTACCCCGTCTGTGATGCTCTGCTATAGCAATGGAAAATCAGCCACACTGAATTTCTGTCAGATGCCCAGGGGGTTGGTGTCACGCTGTGGTTTGGGATGCTCTGGTCTTGTAAGCACCTAGGTTACCTGTTTTCTCAGGGACGATGCTTGTGCTCCAGCCTGCATTGAACCTCTGGTGAGGCAGAGGTAGACACTGGACATTGGTGTCTCTTCACCTTAATTACAGAACTCCACTTTTGTCTGAGCAGTCAGTACACAGTTAGAAATGCTCAACTTCCTAAAATCCTTTGCACCCAGGACTGGGCACTTAGCACAGTTCAGCTTACGACCAGTGACAGGTGCAGGTCAGCTCTGAGCTCAGGGAGGGGGCTTCAGGGAAAGTTCTTTTTATCAGGGCACTGAGCTTGCATCTACCTTTTTGACTTTTACCTTGTGGTCTTAACCCTTTACTCGGCCTAGGGAATGGTTATGAGACTGTTATCTTGTAATCACAAGAACTAAAACCACAAATGAGGATGGTGGAAGGCAAAGTGAAAAGGAGATTGTGTTCTTAGTGGGACTGTCTTATAGCCAGCCCAGACTTGGACTACTTCTATATGAATTTGTTCTGTGAGAAGAACCTGATTTTTTAAAAAAATACTTATTTATTTGAAAGGCAGAGTTACAGAGGGGCAGAGGTGCAGAGGCACAGAGAGAGAGGTCTTTCATCTGCTGGTTCACTTCCCAGATAGCCACAATGGCCAAAGCTGGACTGATACGAAGCCAGGAGCCAGGAGCTTCTTCCTGGTCTCCCACATGCATGCAGGGGCCCAAAGACTTGGCCCATCTTCCACTGCTTTCCCAGTGCATATCAGAGAGCTGGATTGGAAGTGGAGCAGCCAGGACCTGAACCGGCACCTGTATGAGATGCTGGCACTGCAGGCAGGGGCATTACCCGCTAGGCCACAGTGCTGGGCCCGAGTCTGATCTTTTTGATTAAGTTATTATGGTCAGGCTTGTATTCTGTGGAGCCAGCCATGATCCTAGGACACAAGTACATGTCCTCGTCACAGCAGGACAGTACTGTTTTTCATACCTTGTGTAGGTGTGTATTTCCCTGATCACCAACATTTAACCACTTGCTGTCATGCTTTTGAAAAGTGATTTTTAAAAGGCTGTGTACAAGGGTGTGGTCATATACCCAGGAATAATGACTAATGCTATGCTCATTCATTTCTCTTTTTGTTTTTGTCTGAGTCCATCTGGTGACTCCTGGAAGCAGCTGCCATGGTTTGTACCCTACAGGTTTTTAGAAGAAGCTTTCTCCCCAGTGTGGCAATGCTAAGAATGGGGCCTGGTGGGAAGTGCTGATGTCATTGGGGGTACTGCCCTCAGAAGGGATTAATGTAGTTCTCTTGGAACCCCAGGTGGTCCCCTCAAGAGGTGTTATAGAGACATCAGGCCTGGCTCTGGCTCTGCCTGGCTTCCTGTCTTGCTACGTGATGCCCTCTGCCACATCGTGATGCACCAGGAGGTCCTCACCAGAGGCTGGGCAGACGTGGCCTCTAACACTGAGATAAACCAGCGTCTTTGTAAGCCACCCAGTCTCTGGAATTCTGTGACAGTTACAGGGAGCAGATGAATACAGCAGCCACATTAGTATTCGTGGAGTGCTTGCCCAAATAGAACTTTGTTTTACAAAATAAAATAACTGGAATGGGGTCTTCAGATAGAGTTTGTGAGATCTCACATGTAAGGCAACTTCCTCTCTGATGACCCTTACCTTCTTTTTTTTTTTTTTTAAAGATATTTATTTATTTATTTATTTGACAGGTAGATTTACAGATAGTCAGAGAGAGAGAGAGAGAGAGAGAAAGGTCTTTCTTCCATTGGTTCATTCCCCAAATGGCTGCAACGGCTGGAGCTGTGCAGATCCGAAGCCAGGAACCAGTTGTTTCTTCCTGGTCTCCCATGCGGGTACAGGAGCCCAAGCACCTGGGCCATCCTGCACTGGACTCCTGGGCGACAGCAGAGAGCTGGACTGGAAGAGGGGCAACCGGGACAGAATCCGGTGCAGGCGGAGGATTAGCCTAGTGCGCCACAGCACAGGCCCCAAACCTTACCTTCTATGAGGGCACCAAAGACATTAGAATAAACCCACGTATCTGGCATTTTGGATGGAGGTGCAGTCCGCAGGAAGGGGCTGGTCTAAAAGGACTTCTCTCCTGGGCAGGGCAGTTTCTCTGGGGTCTGGCATTAAAGGTGGAGTAAGCAACGAAGACACTCCTGGAGTTGGGGACAAGGATCCTGGTGCAGACAGTAGTTGTGGGCTTCCATTTTCCTAGAGAAGCAAAAGAATTCACTTTGGGTCCCAGTGTCCCGCTATAGCATATAGTGCACTTCAGGGAGCAGGAGAGAAGAGGCCATATCGACGTTGTGGACAGAACCCCTAGGAGAGCGGGAGTTTCTTCCCACAGCATTGGGCTTCCAGGGTAGTATGGGAGGGGACTGCCCTTATTTGACTGGGTTGACCCTAGGACTTTGGAGGGTTTGGAAGGACAGAGGTTGCACAGTGTCTGGCACCTGGTAGACGCCACACAGGCTTGTGGAACGTGAACCTGCTCATGTGTCTGCATCTGCAGTGTCAGTGGAAGATGACCCGCCTCCAGAATGTCGGTCAGCCTCGCTCCTCTCACGCCAGGTTGCTCAGGGTAAAGCCCCGGCATTAGGGCCAAAGACTCCGCATGAGCAGCGCTTGTGCGGCACCTAATGCAGGGCCAAGGCTGTGCTACAGCCTCCCCACCCAGGCTGAGACTCATTTGGCCAAAACCCGCAGCACCTGCACAGCCCTCCTGTGCTGCTCCTGGGGTTTCCGCACCTCCCCCTTGCTCAGCTTCTGGGTAAGAGCTGACTTGACTGTTACCTGTCATGACCTGCACTCCTGCTCACGAACAGTGAGTGCCCGCCGTGTGGCCGGTGTGCTCCGGGTGTCACAGCACCCGGGAGATTTCGTGGCCGAGAATCTGAAACAAAGGAGGGCTTGCTCCCGAGGTACAGTTCATGTGCTGCAGGTTTGCGCTTGGAAAAATGTGCCCAACTAGTGTTTCTCAAATTTGAGAGCTGTGCTAACGTTTCTGAGGGAAATTTTGTTGTAAAGACTGCAGGCTTACTGTCTGTTGACTTCAGTTGAGAAATTACTCTGGGGCTGGAGCTGTGGCGCGCGGTGGTTACACCATGACCTGCAGCGCCGGCAATGCCAGTGGTGTCCCTGCTGCTGCACTTTTTTTTTTTTAGTTTTTATTTAATGAATGCATTTTTTATAGATAAGACTTTAGGAATATAGTGGTTCTTTCCCCATATGCCACTCCCCCCCCCCACCCCAGCTCCCATCCCACTTCCCTCGCCCTCGCCCATCTCCTTCTTCATTATGGTTTATTTTTAGTATGGCTTTAAATACAGAGGACCAACTCCATGCTAAGCATAGACTTCAACAGTTTGCACCCGCACACATACACAACATTTAGAGTACAGTTTGGGTAGAAAATTTGCAGTCGATTCTCATTACAATTCATTAGGGACAGAGATCCTACATGGGGAGCAAGTGCACAGTGACTTCTGTGTTCCTTTAACAATTGACACCCTTATTTATGACGTCATTGATCACCTGAGGCTCTTGCCATGTGCTGCCAAGGCTATGGAAGTCTTTTGTGACCATAGACTCCATCAGTATTTGGACACGGCCACAAGCTAAGTGGGTGTTCTCTCCTCCCTTCAGAAAAGAGTACCTCCTTCTTTGATGGCCCCTTCTTTCCACTGAGGTCTCAGAGGGATCCTCCACATAGGATATTTTTTTGTCACAGAGTCTTGGCTGCCCCACTTTCAATCCAGCTCCCTGCTGATGGCCTGAAAAACAGCGGCGATGGCCCAGGTGTTAGGACCCCTGCCATCCACCTGGAAGGCCTGGATGAAGCTCCTGGCTTCAACCAGTTGAGGCCACCTGGGGAGTAAACCAGCAGATGAAAAGATTCTCTATGTGCCTCTCTCTCTAACTCTGACTTTCAAATGAACTAATATATCTTTAAAAAGAAAAAAAAACCTACAAAACAAAAGTGTTCCTCTACTTACAAGCAGCCTCAGATGTGGTTTATCACTGCACATACTCTTTTAACAACAGGTAAGATGACTTTTTTATATCATCCTTAGGAATTGAACATTTAAAATTCCTCAAAAAACCCACAAGTCCCTGAGAACACAAGCTTATTTCTTTTTTTAAAAAGATTTATTTATTTATGTATTTATTTATTGGAAAGGCAGAGAGGCAGAGAGAGAGAGAGAGCGAGAGGGAGAGAGAGAAAGGTCTCCCATCCATTGGTTCACTTCCCAGATGGCCACAACAGCCGGACCTGTGGCAATCCAAAGCCAGGAACTTGCAGCTTCCTCCAAGTCTCTTATGTGGGTACAGGGGCCCAAGAGTTGGGCCATCTTCTATTGTTTTCCCAGGCCATAGCAGAATCTGAAGTGGATCTGAAGTGGAGCAGCCGGGACTTGAACTAGCACGCATATGGAATGCCGGCACTGCAGGTGGTGGCTTTTACCCGCTATGCCACAGCACTGGCCCTGACAAGCTTAATTCTACAGCAAACCATTCCCAGTTGTGAAAGAGGGGTTTCAGCACACCCTTAGAATGTAAGTTATCACATTCACAAGAATCTTCACTCAGTTCATAGAAAACCCGTGTTAGGAAAAGATTTAATTTCAGCTTTTTTTTCATGCTAGAATAAACTGATGCTTTAATTTCAGTTTTCTCTGCACTTTCCAAAGTTACCCTGAACGTCCTTGAGTGTGGGTTTAAAGGGGGAAATGACTGGCGCGGTGCTCGCGGTGTGTTCAGCTAAGACGTAGCTCCTGTGCACCCATTTGCCTGGCCATGCTGGGGGTGTGAATGGCCAAGGTCAAGGCCTCCAAGTCCGTGTGGCACAGGTTTCCAACCCCGCTTGCATGTCAAGTGTCCCACAGCACGTGGGCTGAGCTGGTGGCCATTCTCCCACCTGCAGATGCCCGGTCCATCCAATTGACTGCAGCTTTGCAAGAGGTTCAAGGCCTGGAAGGGCTGAGCCCCCTGAGGCTGCGGCTCAGAAACCCACGTCCGGCTTTTGTGACACCTGGCCGTTTGCCACGTGGCGGCTAAGGGGTCTGGGACCTCATTCTGCAGGAACTCACCAGATCATGTTGCAGCATCCAGCGTCTCAGAGAGACACTTGGCCCTGACCCAGGAAACAGCACTACTGGCTGAGTTTTTAAACGCATATGGAGATGTCAAAAACCATGGGAGGGCTTGGATTAACCCCAATGGGCCATGCAAGAAAATTGGCTGGGACTTCCAACTAAAACCTTGGAGTTGGAAGTAGTAGGATTGTTCTAGAAGGTAGCTCAGAGACTTAGAGTGATGTTTATTGATTGCTCCATGTGGTTCTTCTAAAAGCTGACATTTTGTAAATAATAAAGTGTCACAGAAAGTGTTGATGTCACAGTTGATGTCACTCAGTGATCGGACGTCAGCTGATTCCCCTCCCCCGCCCCGCCCCTGCTTTATATTTTTGTACTTTGCACACGAGCTGCAGTGATGTAAGAGTAGGGATTTAAGGCCGGCGCCGCGGCTCACTAGGCTAATCCTCCGCCTTGTGGCGCCGGCACACTGGGTTCTAGTCCCGGTTGGGGCGCCGGATTCTGTCCTGGTTGCCCCTCTTCCAGGCCAGCTCTCTGCTGTGGCCCGGGAGTGCAGTGGAGGATGGCCCAAGTGCTTGGGCCCTGCACCCCATGGGAGACCAGGAGAAACACCTGGCTCCTGCCTTCGGATCAACGCGGTGTGCCGGCCGCAGTGCACCAGGTGTGGCGGCCATTGGAGGGTGAACCAACGGCAAAGGAAGACCTTTCTCTCTGTCTCTCTCTCTCACTGTCCGCTCTGCCTGTAGAAAATGAAATGTGAACAAAAAAAAAAGTAGGTATTTAAGAGTCAGACTAGCTGCCTCCACTATCTAATACCTCTGAACCTGGGCAAATGGCTAATCTCACTGTAATCCCATTTCCTTCTCGAACAGGGTTATAGTATTAGTAATACTGGTCTTAGCACAGCTCTTGTGAGGACTGAATGAGGTAATACAGTGAAAGTTCAAGCAGTGCCTGGCACATGGTGACTACCCACGAATTTTAGCTGTCACTACCACACTTTGTCGACTGCAAGACTCCCTTTTCCCTTTCATCTTTAACTGCTTTCTAATCAGGATGTACCTTAAAACTGACGACGTGGCCTGGCTCAACAAACTGTTTCTCAGTCTTGGTTGAAATCCATGCATAAG